AACCTAAATTTGGGATCATCCCAAATCGGCAAGTAAATGGTGTGTAGGCTTGCATTATGCATGCCGGTTTTAAAGGTGAACTTGATTACACCTTTACCTGCCAAGCTCTCAATTCAGCCTTTTGCTGATCTGATTCCGGAGAGGCCAAAAAGGTGGTCCTTAGGCCAGATCTTTGGCAGAAAAGTGAAGGAACAATTGATTTTAAACTTTTAGCATGTCCTTGCATGCATTTATGTAGAGTTTTGGATACTGAGTCTGTCTCATTTAAAAAAAACCCCAAAAAACGCTGTCCAGCTCTTCTGTTGGAGAAGGGGAGAGAAATGAGGTGGGAGGAAGTAGAGAAATGCCACATCAGCTCTTTTTAAAGAGCATTATCAAGCCTCTCTCTTAACTCAGAGGCACTCTATGAATGAAGCACTTTTACGAAACAAGAAAAGGTCTTTAATCTGCTAGGGCTGTCTCTTCAGGAAGCCAGGATGCTAGCACTGGAACAACTGCTTAAGAAATAAAAAGTGGTACTTTTGAATCTGATGGTCCGTGTCATTCCTCCGGTGGTTCCTGCACGTTCCACCACGCTGCCAGGCTGCGCTCTGTATCGTTTGCTGGCTGCCTGAACTGACAGTCCACGTGTAGAGTTCATGTGAAATCCTGTTTGAAAGTCTTTAAAAGTTCGGGCACTAAACACGCTTCCTGTGTAACGTGGTTTCACCTAAAAGGAAGATCCTTAAAATACTGTCCCTTGGGTTAAAAAAAAACAAAAAACAAAACAACCCCCCCCCCAAAAAATCTGTATAGCTCAATTCTTGCCCCCCCCCAAATAAAAATTAAGTGACATTTAAATAGGAGCTATTGGCTAACTCCTTCCCAGACCATGCCATTTTCTGAGTTACTCTCCTAGGTCATTGACGAGTTTCTTTTGTACTCATGAAAACAGACTACTGATCAGAGTGGAAATGAAACTGTTTACTGTATTGTTGTAAATATTGTACTTTATATTCTGTATATTAGCTTCTTTTAAAGGAAAACAAACCGACCTTAATGCTATTTGATATCTGGTAAGGAAAAGGTCCGAGGATGAACCAGAGTCTAAGCTTCCTCCAAAAGGGCTGCAGCGTCTTGCCCCGAGTTCAGATTTCAAGTGGTTTTCCCCCCTCTGTTTTGGAAGTCTGTCCTTCATAGTTTTAAAAACGGGCCAAGCGTTGCGTGTGTTTACTAGCAGTGGTTTTTAGGCTGTCAAAGACCTTTGAATCCTAATCCATTTTGGATAAGGCACCAAGAAGCGCACACAGCGAGAGCCAGAAGCATTTGAACTCTTGTGAGTACCCATGGATTATCTCTATTTTTCCTGTTAGTGCCAAAAACTACTCGCTTCTGATTTGATCTCTAGCTGCCTGTATACAGCATTAAGTTGTTTTTTTTTTTCCCCTCGTTTCCTTCAAGGGCACAAGTCCAGTTGCCTGTTTGCCTCTATTGTTCTCTGCCGTCCTGTGCTGTGGCACTGCTCCTTGGAGAGGCTTTGTGATACTGGTTCATCCTTCACTCTCAGTTTATAAATTCTAACTATGAATGTTTGATTTCCAAGTCACGTACCAAACGGGCTTCTTTGTGAAAAGGTGATGTTCTGAAGCTCGTTGATGAAAACGGGTTATGGAAATTCTCTGGTTACAAGGAAAAAAACCCACAAACCCTTACAATAAATGCCAAACTTCCTGGTTATTGTCTGTGTGTCCGTTCCTGCCTTCTACAAGTGTTTTGTCTTTTCCTAACATCTGACTTCACTATAGCTGAACACCGAATCAAGGCCTTGATGAGTGAATCATTTGAGGAAAGGGGACCATGTTGGTTATTAATGGCACCGTCTCAGTGTCCTAAAATGCAGTCACCTGAAAAAGTTAATGACCAATAGTGGAGTGACAGATTTTACTAAAATTGGCATAGCAGCACCAAAAAACTACACAACTGATCCGCTAGACATAAATAACCCTCTTCCTGCAAGTGTTCTTCCCTTCTGTGCAAGTTTACAAAAGGATGCTAATGCAGTGTGTGTGTGTAAACTCCAGTATCGGACCACTTGGTAGAATCATAGAAAATTCGGGCTGGAAGGGAGCTCAGGAGGTCACCTCTCGTCCAACCCTTGCTCCAAGCAGGGCCAGCCCCACCCACATCATCCCAGTCAAGGCTTTGTGTAACCGGGTCTTAAAAACCCCCCCAAGGATGGAGACTCCGCAACTTCTCTGGGTAACCTGTTCCAGTGCTTTTCTACTCAGCTAGTGAGACTTTTTCCTAATATCCAACCTAAAGCTCCCTTGCTGCAACTGGAGCCCATTGCTCCTTGTCCTGTCACCTGCCACCACTGGGAACAGTCCAGCTCCATCCTCTTTGCAACCCCCCTCAGTCTTCTCTTCTGCAGACTAAATAAGCCCAGGTCCCTCAGCCACTCCTCACCAGTCACGTGTCCCAGCCCCTGAACCATTTTCATTGCCCTCCGCTGGACAGTGTGTCCACATCCAGTGTATCCACATCCTTTCTGTAGCGGGGGGGCCCAAAACTGGACACAGGACTCCAGTACTTCCCACAATCTGTTGGCAATGCTCCTACCAGTGCAGCCCAGGATGCCGTTAGCCTTCTTGGTAACAAAGGCACAATGCTGGCTCCTGTTCAGCTTATTGCCCACTGCCACCCCCAGGTCCTTTTCTGCAGAGCTGCTGCCCAGCCAGTCCTATGCTTCAGGATTATCTTGCTGATGAATTACAAGGCTCTCCTTTACAAGTAGGATGAGGTGGTTTGCGTCAAACCTTTTTAGAAAATCTATTCTCCCAACCACCTTGCTTGCACCTTTCAGTTCTGGTGTGTTTAGCCTCCCCCCCGGGTCTTTATTTCTTCCTTTCTTTTCTTTATCTTGGCCATGCAGACCTTGCTTCACCAGAAGTGAGACAACAGCAGCAGTGCTGGCGGTGAATTTAATTTCCTGCTATTTAACAGAGGATGAAATTAGCATCACGGAACAGGTACCAGGAGGTTCCACCTGGCCTGTGTCCTTTTGAGAACACCCTCTTAGGCATGTTATCTATTAGGAGGTCCAGTTTTGGGAGCTCTGTAAGCAGAATCTGTTGCACTACTTCATTTCTACTCCCACTTCCTCCCTCCAAAAATGCTCCCTGCGTGCCACCCTTCCGCACCCCTCTCAGTTACTGCTACCCCCTTATCTTTTTTTAACCAGAGGCTACGTCTGCACTGCCACATGCTTGATGCACCGCACCCCTCATACTGGTGCTCTCTCTTTAGTGGGACAGTCAAACAAATCTGCAGTTAACCTCCTACAGTGTTGATATCCCACTGTTTATATCCCTCTTCTCAAAACCCTAGTCGCCTTGAGCCTGAGCCCAATTTAAACTCTGCAAAAAGTAGCAGATGAGGTTCTTGGGGTGAATCTAATCTCTTTTAAGAGATCAGATTTACCCCAAGAACCTTGTCTGCCTAGCACGGCTACCACCTACACCCTTGCAAAGCAGCATGATTTCCCTGAGCTTGTGAGGGATTCTCCTTTTAGACTTTTTTTGTTTTAAGAGCTCTGTAATTCCTTTTGATTTCATTCTGCAAGGACAGGGGGAGGCTTTTGTGTCAGGACCTTGCAAAGGCAAATTGGGTTTGCACATGCTTGAGACAGTCCTGCTCTCTTCTGTAAGAGTAGGGGCGTTTGGGGGAAGATGAAGTTTGCTCCACTTGGATTCAAAGTGCAAGCCGATTCATGCAGATTCACAGAAGTTTTTGGCTGATGATCTCATGAGGTCCCTTCCAAATCACCCCAGGAAGGTGTGTCCAGGCTCAAAAAGCAGCAGCTGCAAAGTCAGTAGAACTTCAGGGCCTGAGGTTTCATGCTTAAAAAGAAGTGTTTGCTTAACCAGCTAAGCGGGACTGATAGTAGAGATGATCTCTTCTATTAGACCAACAAGATTTTTGCAAAATTTTTTTTTCTTTAAAGAATTTTATTTTTTTTGCAAAAATCTTGTTGGTCTAATAAAAGAGATCATCTCTACTACGAGTCCTGATTGCAGTCATATTGGTCTAGAGAAAAAGGCAATTTGGATACCTGCTTAACTAACTAGCAGTCTGCTAACCTCCATCTGTAAAAGGAGAAGAGAGTTTCCGGAGTGAACCGAAATTCCCTGCTCCAAGTAGTTTATTAGCTAACCAACTTCTGGAGCGGTAGCCAGGGGGACTTGGATTCATTTGCAGAGACGCGGTAGCTGCAAGTAGCTCACACCCGGAGGAGGGACGGGAAGTGTTGCTCCCTTGGACTAACGGCTGGGGAAGCGATGATCTTGGTTATCTCGAGCTCATGTTTGCTCTTGTAGTCCAGGCTCTACTTTAATAGACTGCCTGTCACTGTGCAGAGATAAGCCCAGACCCCTGCACTGCTGCACCAGGCCTTTCTCCCAGTGCCCAGGGGAGCAAAGCCCATGCCTTGCAAGGCCTTTCCCTAAGCTTCCTCCCCATTCCCTCCAGGAGGGACTTTTCTTAACTCCTGCATCACTGCCAAGGGGAAGGACAGTGCTGCTCCAGGAGGGAGCCCAGGGACATCTTCCCTGCACCACGTGCCTGTGGAGCTGGGCTCCAGGGCAAGGTCAGGGATATGGCACCCCTGCTCCCTCGTGGCCCTTTAAGGCGCCTGCCCCACGCCCCCTTCCCTTCCGGGGCTTGCAACACAAAGCAGCAACTTATTGGCCCGCGGCCTCCACACGCCTCTTGGCATTGGCTGCTTCAGACACGCCCCCGGCCAGGCGCGGGCTGAACCATCTGCCCATCTTGAGGGAGGGGGGGAACACCTCTTTGGACTCCCCCCACAAGCCTTGGGGCCCGGCTCGCTCTGCCAGCAG